ATTACTCTTTTGTCACCAGAAAAGCCAGAAGGACCGCTGCCTCCCCTTCAGACTACGTGGTGGTGGGAGCCTGCTAAACAACCCAAATTTAAGGGAGAAGTGGGCTTCTTGCCTAAAGGTTGTAGTGAGTCCATTAATATGCTTTCTTCACGTGGCTATCAGTATCCTCTCAACCTCCCAACCACCTCCCAAAAGAGCAAAAGCTCACTTGGGAGGAAGTGGGAGTAGAAAGAGGCTTCCACTCTTTGGGGGAAAGGTCAGTATTAAGGTGAAAAATCAGAACGGAGATTGATGAATGGCAACATTCACCACCAGCAGCAGCAACAGCAGCGTCACACCCACAGTTCGAACTTAAGAAATTCACAAGCTGGTGAAGCAGTGAGAAGCCAGGAGCACTTTGGGGCACTGATCTCCCTCCCCAGTTATGTGCCCAGGATTCTCTTCACTGCCTGTATTTACAGGCAACCCCTTACATCCACCTGCCTTCCTATTGGGGTCATCTATACCCATACTCTGTGACACCCAGCACTGCCAATAGGGAGGGTCGAAAAAGGTCGCAGACCCGGTCATAGCCCTCAGGTTGTATCTATGTCTATACCCAGGGGCAATAAGGTAGCCATCTACTTAACTTTCAAAGCTAAAGTCAATACATGGGGGGGGGCATTTTCCCATAGGACAAAGGGCCTTTCCCTCCCATATTGGCCTTCCTGTAATTGTTTTTAATCTTTGGTTTAAAAAAAAAAAAAAGTTTCCTAAAGATGAAGGGAGGAGAAATAAGGACCACCACTAAGATTATATTGTTTATGGCCCCCAGAAGGGAAAAATTAATGTATTCTATTGTGAAGAGACTATGATAGGTTCAACTTTAGAATGTTGTAATTTACTAGAGGGAGGAGACACAAAACTTAGAGCTACAAGAAATTTGGTGGGAAACTAGTCCTCAAAGCTGAAAATGAAAAGTCGATCTGGGGGAAGATTTTTAAATAAGTGGGTCAGAGGGACCAAGAGGAGATGAGGCGATCAATCTTAACCCCCTGACAGCTCCTCTGATTGCATCAAAGAATTTGGCTCTTTGGGAAAGCAGAGGGAACAGCCTAAATTCCACATCCCTTAAAAAGGCCTGAGGGAGGGGGTAGAAAAAGAGAAAGGTGATTCTGAGAGGGCCAGGAAACAGATGGGAAATGGAGACAGAGGGAAGGCGCTAACTTGGGTGGAAAGTTTGCCTGGGAGAACTCCCACGGCTCTGGCCTCCCCTCCCCCTCTTCTCTGTCTGCCGCCCAGCCTGGAGCAGAAGGCTGGTTAGCAGAGAAATGGCAACTCAGCGGAGAGCTGGAACTAGAAACTTTCTGTCAATGTAACGTCTGCGTGGGTGGTGGTGAGTATTTATAGAAAGGGGGAAAAAAGGAAAGAAAATAAAAAGACAGAGAAGTCTGACTAGAATGTGTGTGTGGGGGGCGGTGGGGAGTGGTGGAGGACCTGGATGTGGCTGGCTACAAGGACAGAAAGAGGCAGGCTCTTGGGGAACTGCTCTTAATTGGGCCAAAGGGCCAGAAAGGGTGGTGTGTAACTCAGTTTTTAAAAATTGGATTTATATAATAATATTATATATAATATATATTGTATGCAATATATACATATATTACATTTGGGTGGTGGTTAGCAGAGAAGAATCCAAACAGTAGCTGTCTGCAGGTTGTGCAATGAGGCCTGTGAGGGGGCTTTCTCCCTGGTGGTGCCCTTGGACTCCTCTACAAGTTTTGTAACAAACCAGCTGGCTGCATGCAGTATCCAGGGTTCTTTTAAGACAATCAGGGCCCAGACTGTCCCGTAGGAAATACAGCTCTCTAACCCTTGATGACAGATTTTATGGCCAGATCAGTGAAAGGCAGAAAACTTGGGTGTTAAAGGAGGGGACAGGGAACCCTCAGAGACATCCCTCCTGCACCCTGTCCGACAGGAATCTTCAGTCTAACACTCTCCCAACTAGCTATTTCAGCTAAGGCTCGACAGGAATCTTATGGCAGATTTTTAGCCATGTTCTTAACAGCTTTAGCTGAGTACCTGGAGTCATGAAGACAGAAGGCTAGGTTCTGTTTTTATTTATAGCCCTAGCTTCAAGCCAAAGCACTGCTTTTCATCTGTCTAGCTAAAGTCTCTCTTATAGGTAAATAATTTATCTTATGAATAAATAAATAAATAAATAAATAAATCCACCTCTCCCTCCACCCTCAGAGCCAAACATGACCCTTCATGTAGTTATATCATTCAGAAAAAGTTACTCAGCAAAGACAAAAAGGAAAGGAAAGACAGACCCTTGAGCATTATTTGATCCCAATCAAACTTTGCATGCTCCTCTGCCTTTAATTTATAGCCTTACTCAATGCAAAATTGCTTGCTGCCTGGAGGAGCCAAGTCCAGTTTAAAAAAATCCTACTTGGTGGGGAGGGGGTGTAGGATTCAGGGTTTTTTTATTGTTATTTATTGTTGCATAAAGACTGTAATTACTAACCTTGGACTGCCAGGATGCAACATAAAAATGAAAATCAGCCCTCGTTTTAAGGCTGAGGGCCTGGAACAATTCTCACCCTCCCCCCATATCACCACTACCACCAAATATATGCTCCTAATTAAGCAATGCGGGCATAACGCTTACAATTAGAATTATGTAACTCTTCAGCAAGCAGCCATCTCTTCTTTCAACGAATTAGCTCCATATTTCAGCCTCTCTGTCTCCTCGCTCTTATCATCAGATACTGAGATGCAGTGGTGACATTTCATCTTTGACAGACCCTCTCTATTCTCACTCCAATGTGATAAAACTTTTATGGAACCAGGACTAAGAAATGAAGTTTTCCAAAGGATCGTGGAAACCGAGCCTCACATTAGCCTGGGGACCATTTTATTTATGCTTGGTTTCAATAGCTTCCCCTCACTTCCTTCCCCGTTTCCCTGGCAAGAGAAATCAAACCAGCCTCCTCAGCTCCTTTGCCCTGGGCTTCACTTAATGATTTAATTTCACTTTAGTTCTAAGGCTTGACCTGAGATGTCTAGGCCTCGGTTTGTTGTTGTTTTCCCCCAGATTAATCATTTTCCTTTGTTTTCATTTTAGACCCAATGGTGGTTGGGCTTCGGGTCACGTGACAGCCTCCTTGTAGCTCCGGAAGAGAACCGTGAAGTTTAGGTTGCCCTGGAAGAAGCAGTAATAAGCTAGATTTTGGTATGGGTTGATGTGGGCCAAGGGGTGCATAGAGGTAGTGGCTAAAGGAAGAAGAGAGGCCAAGGGCTGAGAGAAACAGAGAGGCAAAGAAGCTAAACAAGACAGCCCAAAATTTCCTTCCCTCCCCCAAATTCTTAGTTAAACCTCAGCTGAAGAGCTTGGCACAATGGTCCAGACTGCTATGAATGTCAAAAAACCTGAGTTTAAAACAGGAGGAAAGCTCGGGAGGGAAACAGGGGCCTGAGCAGTAGATGAAAAGGCCAGGACAGTGTCTTCAATGCTGTCCTCTTAGGGGACATTTGACAGTTGGAGCCTTTTCCCTGCATCCTGAATTGGACCACCAGGACAAGATAAAATTGATAACAGAAAGTTTATTCAAGAATTGTTTTGACAGACAACCCTTTTAACTAAGGAAAAAAAAAAGTAACTACAGAAGAACAAAGAAAGTTCCAAGAGAGAATTAACTCTAACTCTACAAATTCAGGACTATACAGTGACCATCAGGAGCTGAGTTCATGCCTTTTAGAACTAATTACAATTGCTCATAAGTACGAGTTTAACATAAATCTACAGCTCTTGTCTAGAATACAACAAAAACTAAAATAGCTGGTTTTACATGACAGGAAACAACATCCTTTATAACAAGTAAATACTAGAAAAGTACATTTTTTTCCTTTTTGTTCCTCATATAAATACATAATGTAGGGGGGATAAATAATACAAAAAAGAAAATATTTTAACAGGCTATAACCAATAAATATATATGAAAATGTTCACTAGAACACACACTTTTTGAGCGAAGCTGGACTTCTTCTGCAGGCCCAGGCATCTCTCACAGTTGTTTTTTTTTTTTTTTTTTTTTTTTTAATCCATTAAAATGTAAACTCCAAGTGCAACAAGAGTGCCCTGTCAGAGGCTGGAGCAAGGTCCACAGGCCTAGGCCCAGCTGCAGCCTCTGCCTCGGACAGACAGTTTGTTCAAATATACCCTGTTTTCACGTTAAGTCAAGAGAGTAACAGAAGAGAAAGGAAAGAGGAGAGAGCTTCGTGTAGCTTGCTTTCTGTGGAGAGAGAGAGTAGAATGGGGTGGAAGCCGAGAGGCTGCAGAGTGGGCAAACCTCCAGTCCTGACAACTTGCCTGCCTTAGCCTAACTTTTCCTTAAAAGAAAAAAAATATATCTATTTATATTATAGGCAGCTCTAACTTTCAGGATCTCTCACCATCCCTGAGCCCTCTGGGACTTGTAAGCAATAGGGGTGGGGTATGGATGTGACCGTATAGCAGAAAACCATGGGGCTAGCAATGGGGGCTAGCAGGAAGCCTAGGACAAATTGAGGCTTCAGGGGGGTGGGAGGGAAACTTTGTGCCCTTAGATTTAAACGTGTTTTCTTACTTTTCATAAGGAGAATGAAAGGGAGGACAAAAAAAAAAATCAAGATCTGGGGGGATTTCTGCAGAGACAGAAGGTAAGTTGGTTGATGAAAGCCAAGCCTTAAGGTTTAAATGTGCTTCTCTGCCCTGCTTGCCCATCTTGGTTCCTTCCCTCTACCCAACTCCCTCTCCAGTCTGAAATTCCAACTTGGTAGTGATGGAGCCTTGGGATTGATGTGGTCGCCTCCACCCTCCTGTGGATTCCTTTCCAAGGGTATAGGCAGGCAGATGGAACCAGGCTTGTAGGGACAGCCCCCTCAGGCCAGGGAGAAGGGAAGGAGCCCAGGCCTGGAAGCCTGCAACAACCCCAACACACACCTCTTCCAGGTCTCCAAACTGCCCCCACCACCAGCTCCACCACCTCTCTGGCCCTTGATCTTGACCCCCCCACCAACCCTCCCCTCACATCACAGGTGTGTCAGTTTGGGTGCTTCTTGGATTCTACCCTGAGGCGGTGCGTGGTGAGAGGAGAGGTCTGTGTAGGTGGGGTGAGGATCACAGGGTCCGTGATGCTGGCTGGGGGCCATAGGGGGCGCCCCGTTGTAGTCCAGGTTCCCCGAGGGGTGGTGGGAAAGGTGATTGAGGCCGTAGAGGGAGGGGCCAGCAGGGGGCGGCAGCGGATCCGCGTAGCCACCCCCTCCCACGTACACCGGGCTGCCCTGCATGGTGGGCGTCCCGTAGGCGCCCCCGTTGGCTTGGAGGACGTGGGGCTCATACTCGGGCGCCGGGGTCGGAGGGTACTTCTGTGGGGCGCCGCAACCCTTGAGAGGGGGCTGGTAGTTGGGGGGCAGCGCGTAGGCATTCTGGTGGCCTTTGCCGAAGGCTGGCGGGGACGGGCTGTCATAGCTGGGGGTCATGGAGTGTAAGGCGTTCATGAAGCCGGCCGTGGACTGCATGGGCTGCGGGGGGCTGCCGGCCGGAGAGGGACCCCCGGACGACGAGGCCAGCCCTTTGGCCTTCTGGTCTTTCTTGTATTTCATGCGGCGGTTCTGGAACCAGATCTTGATCTGGCGCTCGCTGAGGTTCAGCAGATTGGCCATCTCCACGCGGCGCGGCCGGCACAAATAGCGGTTGAAGTGGAACTCTTTCTCCAGCTCAACCAGCTGCGCGCTTGTGTACGCCGTCCGCGCCCGCTTGGACGCCGCCGACCCCGGGGGGCTCTTGTCCCCTCCCCCGCCTCCACTGCCGCCCCCGCCGCTGCTACTGCCGCCGCTGCCGCCGCCGCCACCGCCACCACAACCTTCTGCTGGACCCGAGGGGGAGGGGTGGGAAGGGGAGAAAATGAAATAAAAGATAATTACTGAACACGCCGAAATTGAATGCATCGTTTCTTAATAAATCCAGGTCTGGACTCCGGAGCCCCCGCCACCCGCCACCCTCCCCTTTGCGTCCGCGCCTCCTCCTCAACACCCCCCTCCCACCTCCCGTCGCATTAGCGGACACTCTATAATAGTGGCATTTATTAAGAGACCTGTTCTCCTCTCACTGCCCCAGCTTATGAAAATTTGATCATGTCACACAGACAGAGCTGCGTGGCCATTTATTTAGGGTTAGATTTTTGCTTGTGCGCGCACCCCTCATATATCCAAATCCAAGTCTGAGATGATCCCCTCCTTCTGTCTGTCCTATTTTCAAGATGGGTGACTGATAACACCTGGGGAGGGGGGGGAACTGGACACTGGTGGGCAGGGCCTGGAAGTGTGGCACTGGAGACTAGTGGCTGAAGGCCAGGACCCCAGGCCGCCTGAGCGATGGTGATTAATACCCACAGTAATCATACTTAATAATAATCTACCCTTGATGACTCTCTACCCTCCAGGCGATTCTGCCTTGGAAAGGGCTCTGATACCAACCGTCCCACCTCCTGGAAATTCTTGGAAACCCAGGAGGAGGATGGCTGGAGGGGCTGAGTGTTGGCAGGGTCAGAGGTCATCAGGTGGGGAGAGGTACGGGGGGGGGAGAAAAAAGAAAAAAACCACAAGGCAGCCACCTAATATTGTTTCCAGGCGCCTTGTGGGCGCCTACGGGTCGGATGCTAGAATAACAGTGACATTCCTCGACTGGACAAAAGCTGACGATGAAGGCAGAGAGCTGGTACCTGTGCCGGGGGAGCTGTTTTTCAGCTTGGACGTTTGCCTCGACTCTTTCATCCAGGGGAATATCTGTTTGGTGAGGGTAGAGTTGGAGCCGGGACCGCACTTGGGGGGGCCGCTTTTGCTAGGCCCGCCCCCATTATTGCTGTTGCTAGTGGTACTGGAAGGTGCGGCGCTGGGTGGGGGTGAGCCCGGCGGGGCGGGCAGGGGCTCTGGGGCCAGGCCAGGCCTCATGCAGCTGCCGTTGAGCTCCTTGCTCTTGGCATGTGGGGCGGCATTGCCCAGGGACTGCAGGGAACACGCTGAGCGCTGGTAATCACCCTCCAGGTGCGTAGCGGCCTGAAAGGGGGGCTGGGGAGGCCCGTCGTAGCCGAAACCATTGCTGCCAGGGTACGAGGAGTAGCCTCCGAAGAGCGCAGCTGCGGTGTTGTCGTAGTAGGTAGCTTTCTGCATCGCTGGGCGAGGCCCGGGCAGTGGGTGGCAACTTGCAAGGGCCTGATACCCTCACGACCGGACATTGGCACCCCTGGGGGTCACGTGATACGCCGGACCCCCCTCCCCTTTCTGCCCCCCTCCTCCCGGGTCTGTTCCAAGCGGCTGACCTGCGGGGCGAGAGAAGAGACACAGGGGAAGAAGAGGACTGGGCCTCGAATCCATCTTAGGAACTAAAAAGGGAACTGACATCAATAGAGGGTTAGGTTTTTTTTTTTTTTTGGTTTTTTTTTTTTTTTTTTTTTTTTTTTTCTCTCTCTCTCCTCTCTCTCTCCTCGCCAGTCTTTCTGCAGCAGACGCTGGGACCAAGTATCTGACCTGACATGGATGATTCTTGCTTCAACTTTAAAGGAAACAAGCCAAAACACCGATTTTTCATTTTGATTTAAAAAAAAAAAAATCAGGATTGAACTCCTTGGGGGAATGCTCAGGAATAGAATAGCATTGCTTTGCTTCTTGGACCATTGCTTCCTTCTCTCCTGATTATCCACCAGCCCGACTTTTCCTGCAATTTCTGCTTACCTCCCCCAACCCTGGTCTAGGGCAATTCCAGGGAAGGAGCACTATTAGACTTCAAAATAGCAGCATCTTGGAGGTCCACGGTCCAGTGTGGAGGCCTGTGTCCTCCCCCTCCTCCCTCCAGATCCTTCCACCTAAGCATAGTCTAGCCTGGAAGAAACTTGCAGATCTTGGACCCAAGCCAGACTGAAAAGCAAGTTCATCTGGGACCCTTCCCTCCAGCAAGATCGCAACTGCATAAGGTAGAAAATTCCTGAAGATTTTTAACTCCCAGAGTCAGTGGAACCAAGCTCCATCTATCTATGTCCCATCTGCAGGTACCATCACCTCCAGTCTTGGCTCAAGCAAGCCTGGGACCTAGCAGCTAGCGGCCCCTGTGGAGCCTCCAAATGGACTGTGGTTGTTTAGATTTCCCAGGCAAGACCGGTTGGTGCTATGGCCATTTGGCTTGGGTCTCCCCCAGCCTTTCCATAATAGTCTGTTTTCTTTTCTTTCTCAGGGGGAAAAAAAAGTAAAAAGAAAAAAAATATTGTGCAACTGTTGGAATTTTCTACTGAGGTGGGGGAAATTATTCAGGATGAAAAAGACTCACAAAACAATTTGAACACGTTTCTTTGTTGGGTTTGAAAGGGGGGCTGTTTACTAGGGTCCCCAACAGCAAAAAAAAAATTAAAATTAAATAAAAAAATAAAATAAAATCACAAACACTATTTTACTACAGCTTTTAAAAGTGCACCAGAAAAATAAAACGTAACCACATCAGGGGAGTTTGTATTTGTCCCCAGATTTCTGACTGCCTCCCCTTTCTCTGTGTCTCCTCCAGCCCTACATGGGAGGGTACTTCCCTATAACCTCCACACTGATCATGTGCTTTTGGAAAAACTTAAAATATCATTCAGCCCAGATGGTCAGTCAACTCCAAAGAAGACTTGGTAAAAATAAAATGAAAGAAGCACAGGTGGAGTGGGTCCCTCCCATACACAAATACTGCTCTTAATGAAAAATTCATACTTAAAAGGGAGCTGGTACAGCCCTGAGATCCGATTGGTTTCCCAGAAATTTTTGTTTCTGGAAATACACATGGGTCTGCTAAGCAGCAGGTCCTTCCAGGGAGGACTGGAGTTCAATTGACCAGGCTGACCCAATCCCTTTATTATTATGACCATTCGCCTCTGATGATTTAACCAAAATTAGCTTCGGAGCAGCCCTGGCTGAAAGGAAGAATTAATTAAGCGGCATCAGTCGAGTTTGTTATTAATAGATAGAAAAGAGAATGAAATAAAAACGTTGGAGGGGGTTAGCTGGCTGGGCCCTGGCTTTATTTAGTCTAAATGATTGTTACAGCAATAATGATGATGGTGGTGGTAATAATAATAATAATAATAGTAATAATAATAAATAAAAACCTAATAATTCGACTAGACGCCTGGGGCTGAATTTTCTGTGGTTACCCCAGCAATAAGCCCCAAACCATCGCAGGACAGAGGCCAGGCGAGTGTGGGAAGCGAAGGAACCAGAGACGCGATAGGAAAGAATGGAGACTCCGCTGGCGGTTGAGACAGGGCCATGAGGGTTTGTGGATTCGGAGAGCCTCCAGCTGCCGCTGCTGGCGGGCTGTCTGGCCGTTGCTACCTCAGTGGCTGGAGAGAAGATACCAGCCTCCTGCTCAGGCACAAGGAAGCGAGAAGAAACCGATCGGGACGCCGAACTGGTTAGCTGCGTCAGGTTCCAAGCACACCGGGCCGGGCCAGGCCGAGCCCCGCGGCGGCAAGTTTAGCGCTGGAGGTAACCGAATTAAAAGGCGCCTTAGCAACTCTGCTCCGGGACTTTGCCCAACAGGGCTCCAGGCTGGAAGGCAGAGAGGCCTGGCTGATGGGACAGTAAGGGATGGAGGGACAGTGCAGCGGGGATCTGAGAGCTAGGATCCAGAAGAGGGGGTGGGGAACAGCTCTACCCAGCCAAACATGTCTATTTCGCTTGCCTCCATGTTGGAAAAATTCAAGCTCCATATGGCTCCTCGGAAGGGTGGGAGGGAGATAGTCGTTCCCGGCTTCCCCTCGGGGTCTCGCTAGAGAAGGGAGTCAATCCCTCCCTCCAGAACCCCACCTTTCCAGGCACACTCCTGGGAGAGCCAGGAAGGGTAACAATAGCTGGAGAAACACCAGGAGAGAGGATAGGCTACCTTCCAGGACTTTAAAAAAATGATGATGATGATAATAATAATAATAATAATAATAATAATAATAATAATAATGCAGCAAGGAAGAAAAATAAAAGAATAAGAAAGGAAAAGAAAAGGATTCGGCTTTTCTTAGCAAACGGGGGAGAGGGGATTTAGCCTTAGAGCTGGCTGTTGGGAAAAAGAGAGCAGAAAAGGAGAGAAGCAGAGAGAGAGAGAGAGAGAGACAGAGAGAGAGAGAGAGAGAGAGAGAGAAAGGGAGGGAGTGAGGGAGGGAGGGGGAGAGAGGGGAGAGAGAGAGAGAGAGAGAGAGAGAGAGAGAGAGAGAGAGAGAGAGTCAGTCGCTGCGTGGAAGGAAGCTTAAAGCTTGTGAACTCTTCTTGAACCGAGATTGGAGTCATATGGGCCATAAATCATTGAGACATACTCTCCGCCATTCACAAACTGATAGCCTATTTCAGTCCAGCTTACCTTAGCCACCGACGAGGGGAGAACAGGCAGACATAATATATATTCACATCGAGCCTCAGCGCGAGCGGCAGGCGAGAAATCTCCCCTCCTTGAAGGCAAAGGAAAAAAAAGACCACTGTTTAAAGCTGCGTCGACCCCCCCCTCCCCAAAGCCACCCCGGCTGGGGAGCCCGAGGGGCAGATCGGCCAGAAGAGCCGCGGCGTCCGCTTCAATTCACTCGGCTTTGGAGCGGGGGGTGCGCAGGAGGGAGGGGTAGGGGAGTGGGGGAAAAAAATAGCAGACCGAAAGGTGCTGGGAGGCTCGGCTCGCCGAGAATCCAGCTCCGGGCTCCAGCTCGGCCAAGCCTCCACAGTGTGGTTGCCCTATAAGACTGGTACGCCCTACTCTCCGTAACAATGGCCTCTGCTTTTGCACAGGGAAAAAAACCACACACACACACACACACACACACACACACACACACACACAAGCTCACCCCCCACCTCTCCCCCTTTAGCAAGCTTCGATGCCTGATAAGGAGGGAAGGTGATTGTAGTGATGAGCGCTGGGGGGGGGCGCGAGTACCCCTCCCCCAAATAAGAGTTCAAAGCAAAGAAAGTAGAGGGTGGTCTTGTCTCATTTTGTTTTAAAAACAGGTAAAATTTTTACATTGAGATGGGAGAAGAGAAGAAAATGCAAATAGAGCTGGTGGAGTTCACAGATCGCCCCCCCCCTTCAGGTCTCACTACTGGACCATTATGCTAATCTGAGAAGTGTTTCTTCGGAGACCCAGTCAGAGGCTAGCCTGTCTGGGACAGGGGCGCTGGGTGCCCCTCCTGTGCTCATTCACAGTAGGCACAGAGACTTGTTTTTTTTTAAGTAGTCTGCAGACTGAGTCTCAGGCTCTCTTGCTGAACCTCGCAGCCCCTGATCCTTCTCCTGTATCCCTCCACCCCACCCCCAAATCTCCAGGCCCAGTCTCTACTGGGGGGAGGGGGCAAGGCCAGACTTTTTTCACACACACACACACACACACCCTTATTTTTTTTTTTTTTTTTTTTTTTTTTTTGAGAACAGACAACTAGCGGTGAGTGATGATTTAAAAACCCAGAACATCTTGCAGGAGGAGCAGGGTTGAAGGGAGGGTGAAAAAAGGAAAGACCCTGTGGTTTAGCTTGAGCTCCAGCCAGCCGGCCAGAAGGGCTCTGAGAACTTCGCGCAGTAATTTCTGTTAAGAGTCTCACCTCTGGACAGTCAGAAGGGGCTAGGGGGTGAGAAGAACATTTGTACTCCTGAGATGAGAACTCCGGGATGGTTTCGTTTTAAATGCACTAGCAGACAGGACGGAAGATGAGTATTGGAGTAAACCTGCTTGTTCCTCCTCTACAACTATGCTCTGCGTGGCAAGATTTATGACTCTTGGCACAAATAAAGAAGGCTGCAAAAGCTAAAAGTTTTCTTAGGGTGTGTTTGAGCAGGGCAGGCAAAGGCAAGGAAGAAGGAGGCCTGTAGGAGGAAGACAGGAGCCAAGAATGTAGGTGTCTGCAAATTTAGGGGAGGGGGTGGGGAAAGAACCATTGGCGAAAGACAAAAAAAAAAAAAAAAAAAAAAGCACAGGCTGCCTAACTGCTGACTCTCAGGACTTAGGGGATGACACAGAAGGCTGTCAGTGTCTCTTTTCAGCGTGGACAGCCAGCTTGGAGGCTGGTTCTCTTAACTTCGGGTAGACACATCCAGCCAGGACCCTGTGCAGATTTCCTGACTGGGACACTCGGTTTTTGCCTTCTCCCATCTGGATACATCAGGACAGTCGATGGGTCTGGAGAAACAGAGGTGAGAGGTCTCTAGCTATTGTCTCCCCTCCCAGAGAGGGTGGCTTTGGTGATAGTTCTCTTCTTTAGGAGTGAAAAGGGGGGGGGGAATGTCTCCTGGCTTACAGCCCCCCAAACACACACATACACACACACACACTATTTCTAAACCCATCAAATCACTTCAAATTGGATGGAGTGACTGACTTTCTGGGGCCTGTTACAGGAAGGGACCTGTGGCCTTCAGCAACAGGAGTCATGTGCAGAACCCTAGATATGATACCTGGGATCCTACTGTCTGCCCAGAGTAGGTGATTCCTTACAGAGTTGGTGGCTGGACCTAGGTGGGAATTGAGGGGTTAAGTAGAGAAGGTGAGAGCCAATTATTAATAGTCTCAAGAGGAAAAAAAAATGTTGAAGTATTGGGGCTCAAGCCAGGACCAGGACCCTCTTGAGAAACTTCCCATATCCAACAACTCTGGAAAGAGAACCTCAGAGTGAGATGCCAAAGAATTTTAGGCCTGGTGAGTCAGCAACTCAGGCCCAGGGAGCTTCCAGAGGCTTCAGGGGACTTAGACCACTGATTCTTTTCTCTAGTTCCCTAAAATTAAAAAAATTTTTTTTTCTTCAAATGTACTTTAGACTCTTCAGCTCATCTAAAAGTTCCTAACACTGGCTAGGGACAGTTATTATGAAATTGAGAAGAATTACCTGCTCACCTTCAAAATTGCACAACTCTGCCTAAAAGAATAACCAAAGAGCCTAAAGTCACCTAGCCACTGCGGGGATGGAAGAGCTGCTGCACCCGGAGGTGGAAGGCATTTTAGAAAGAGCAAAAGACTCTCTCCATCCCTTGTGGGTGAAGAGGGGCATTCAGGGATGGGAGCAAAAAGGAAGAGGGGGCAGGAAAGGAACGGGGAGAAAATTCCAGAGGCTATGCACCCCCTGTGGGTTAGGAGCTTAACCTAAGATGTCCTGGTCAATTCTTAAAAACAGCACTCATTTTAAATATACTTGGGAGAGAATTAGATGCTCTTTTGGTTTCTTACTTGTCTTCCTCCCCCAACCCCCATTCCCACCCTCCCCCCACCCCAGGCCACTGGGAACTGTCCCTTGCCGCTGGGAGGTGGCAGGGTACAGAGGAGAAGAACCAAGCTGGAGGCTGTGAAAGGGCTTGTTTTGATCAGAAAGGTGGTGATGGGTTAGGAATCTTTTCAAACAAAGGCAGGATAAGGTCCTTCGTGGAGAGGACCCCAGAAAGGCCTGAGGCTAGTCATCTCTGAGATGGGACAGAAGACAGGTAGGATAAACAGCCTGGTTTAGGGGGAACTAGAGGCAAACACTTTTCTTCTGGAGTCAGAAAACTTGGTAGCTTTATGGGAGAGGAGAAGAGAAAGAGAAAAGAGGAAAAGTGAAAAAATTAAGAGACAGACAGCTAATTAGTAAACTAATAAAGGCAAAAATTATAAGTGAAAAAAACAAAACCTGGGAGAAAGCATCCCCCTTCACAGTTCTGTCTCTTTAGAGACAGAGTGAGAGCTCTGCTGCCACTCTCTTCCCCCGACTTCTACTAGGTACTGAGTAGTGGGAGAGCAGGAGCATGGTAAGCAATTTTGAGTGGTCAGTTACTAGCTGCCCACCCTTGTGAACCTCAGCACAATTATCCCCACCCACCCACCCCACCCCCACCCTGCCAAAAAAATCCACCAAAGAGAAAACTAAAATTATCTTAGTAAGGGCCAACAGGGCTGGTTCCTTTAAAACCAATTTCTGCTCTCAGTGTTCTGGTGACCAAGGGTCCTGATCTCAGCTAAACAGCAGGAAACTTCTCCGGAGCTGCTTCTACCATTGAGCAATTTGTTTCTTGCTCACCCTTGCCTGGGTTCCCTGTCCCATGCGCTTTTCTAGTGTGGCCTTCCAACTTTGTGGCAGCCACACCTCCATCTCCTCTTAAATATTAATGAAGATTTTAAAGCTTAAAGGTTTGTAAAAAGAGGGTTTTGTTAATGAAGAAGACTTTGTAGACTAATGTTTGTCTCCTTAGTCCCTGGATCTCTAAAAATGCTTGGGTGGGAAGGAACAAAGGAACATAGGAAGAAGATCTGAGTGCTTTCCCTAAGGAGGGTATAGACGCTGCTGCTGATAACTCCAGGAGGAGAGAAGGCCCACCCCAACGAGAAAAGAAAAGGAAATCCAGGCTGTACCACCCCACCCCTGCCTCAGGACAAGAAGGGTAAGGCAGAAAGATCAGAACAAGCACAAGGACCTATAAAGTCTACTGGGCGCCTGTGGAAGCCCCTTGAGCCTAATAATGATGGGACTACAATTCTGGAGTGACATCAGCAGCAATCTGTTTCTGAATCAGGGACTTCTAGAAGCTCAGCCCTGGCAAACCCCACCCCTTTCCAGTGAGGAGACAAAGGTAGGCAGGGTAGAGAGGCTGAGGGGAGAGGGGGGAGAGACTTGTGAATCCTGGACTGCTGGGGGAGGGTGCTGGGGAAGGAGGGAGATGTCCACTTCCTGTGGCCAGCAAGCAGGGTCTCTCCTGACAGAATGGATGTCTCTCTCCCAGTGACCTCTGTTTATCAGACAATAACTCATTGGATTAATGGACAATCAGTGGAAGGCCTCCAAATATAAAATGCCAAAGTCAAAATGGGACAGGACCAGAGTCTGGGTCTGGAGGGGTTTTTTTGGTTGGTTTGTCTGTTTTTTGGGTTTTTTTTTTTTTTAATGTTCTCTCTTAAAATAGGTTTGGAGAAGTAGGTTATCTGACCAGAACCTGGGATTTCTAAAGATGAAGTTGTTGCCTAGCTGTCTCTACTTCCTGCCTTGGAGTACATATCCCAAGTCATACTTCCCTAGACACCCCAGATCTCTCCTCAACCCTTCTACCCTCTTTATATCCTCAATCCCACGAGAAATTGCCCTTCACAAGGCTGTGTGTCTGAGAAGCCTCTGCTTTTAAGTTTTATGTCTCTGAAGTTGGAAAAAGAGGAAAAAAACAAAGTAGGGAGCTTCCTCTTGCTGGCCTCTGTCCTGGTCACCCTGGAAGGATAGTCAGCATGGTGCTACAGTCAACTGTATGTGTCCTCTCCCAGATACAGGTCTAAGCATCCATGGGTCAAGGCTGGATCTATGAGGAAGCTGCACCTGTTTTCATAGATTCTAAACTATAAACCTATGGTTCAGGTTTTGGGCTAGAGTGAACGGAGGAACCTCAGAACTCCAAAACACTACACCCTGGACAACTGCAGCCTTGACTTAGCATCTAACAGGAAAACTCTTGTCTGGTGAA